TGCTTATTTAACTTATATGCAGAGTACATCAGGAGAAAAGCTGGGCTGGATGAAGCACAAGCTGGAATCAAGTTTGCCGGGAGAAATATCAATAACCTCAGATAGGCAGATGACACTTCCCTTATGGCAGAAAGCAAAGAAGATCTAAAGATCCTTTGGATGCAAGTGAAAGACGAGAGTGAAAAAACTAGCTTAAAACTCAACATTTAGAAAACTAAGATCATGGCATCCGGTCCCATCACTTCATGGGAAATAGATGGAGAAACAGTGGAAACAGTGACTGACTTTATTTTTCTGGGCTCCAAAATCACTGTGGATGGTGACTGCAGCCATGAAATTAAAAGACACTTGCTCCTTGGAAGGAAAGCTGTGATCAACCTAGACAGCTTATTAAAAAGCAGAAACATTACTTTGCCAACAAAGATCTGTCTAGTCAAAGCCATGGTTTTTCCAGTAGTCATGTATGGATGTGAGAGTTGGACTGTAAAGAAAGCTGAGTGTTGAAGAATTGATGCTTTTGAACTGTGGTGTTGGAGAAGACTCTTGAGAGAGTCCCTTGGACTACAGGGAGATCCAACCAGTCAGTCCTGAATATTCATTGGAAGGACTGATGCTGAAGCTGAAACTCCAAAACTCTGGCCACCTGATGTGAAAAACTGACTCATTAGAAAAGAACCTGTTGCTGGGAAAGATTGAAGGCAGGAGGAGAAGGGGACGACAGAGGATGAGGTGGTTGGATGGCATCACCGACTCGATGGACATGAGTTTGAGTAAGCTCCGGGAGTTGGTGATGGACAGGGAAGCCCGTCGTGCTGCAGTCCATGGGGTCAGAGTCACGACTGAGCGACTGAACTGATGTGAAATTATAACTATTTTGTGTATTATTTCTCTTTTGTCACTGACAGTATAACAATCAGGAGTGTGATAAAAGATCGCATTTTTAAAATAGAATTTTTGACTTTTAATTACTTAGAGTGAAAGAAGTAAAGTTTAACCGGTGAGCCAAAGGTATCTAATATTTTTTAAGGTAACTTTTTTACTTTTTGGCTCTCGGTTCTGAACTGTGAACCTAATTTAATCCTCTAATGAGTTTTTGTTTAATATTATCAATTCCTGATTTTGTGTTTTTCCTTTGGGTTTGCTTTATGTTTCCATTTGCAGCGCTTATCCACTTTTTTGGAGTGATAAGTCTGCTGCTAGTGTTTGAAAGATGGATTAGACCTTTAGATGACATAGTATCTCATTTTTTCAGGGTGTTAGCTTCCCTTAATCTTCCAGCAGCAATTGAAGATATATCTGGAGATACCGTACCTCAGTCTATATTGACCAAGTCCACATCTGTGATTGAACAGGGAGGCATCCAGACTGTTGATCAGTTGATCAAAGAGCTACCTGAACTTCTGCAAAGAAATAGAGAAATCCTCGATGAGGTATGTTTTAAGAGATTTGCTTTTCAGGTAAATAAAATACTCTTTGGCCCCTTGGTGTCCAGCAGGGATTGGGACAGGAGGTTTCTTCCTGTGGTTTCACAAGGTAGCGCTCATCATTCAGGTGAATTTATTGTGGCCCATAGTCTGCCCTTCAGCGTCAAGAGGAATTCTGAGTGAAAATGGGTTCATATGTCTTAAGGGTATGTAAGTGCGCATTAATGAAACTTACATGACCATTGTGTGAAACTGGTATACTGTGAGAAATTACTGTCACACAAACTGTTCAGACTTTTTCATTATTAAGGACTTTTTTTCTTGTGAAAGATTCAGTCTCTGGTGAACAAGGAATCAGACTGAGGAAGTTAGGCCATCATGTGTTTTCTAAGCCCACCATACTCATCTTTAGGTGGAAAGGGCATTTTATCAATAGGAATGTAGCACTAAAGTTTGTTAGCTGAAGTGAACTATTTGCCAGTGTTATTCTGCTTTTAAGGTGCTTTCACCTCTTTCTACTAATTGATACATTTGTTTCTTTAAATGTATTCAGACTGGTTATTTTGGTTTTTGACAGTTTAGGAGTCTTTTAGGTGACTTCTGTTATGGATGCTTAATCCATGGTGTTTCAATCTTTCAGTTAACTATATCAGAGGAAGTTGTATTTACACTGTTTCCAAATACTTTGGGGCAAAGACAGAGTACTTATATAGTATGACAGTGTGAACCTCGGGAATGAGAGTATATACCTTCCAGGGTCACTTAAGGGCTTAACTAAAATAAAACAAATATTAATGTGAAAAAAGCTCATCTCATAATTAAGGAAAAACTGGCTTTATTAGTGTGTATGGTATGTCTGTTGTCTGCCTCTCTTATGAGGTATTTTTATTTATTTTATCTTCCTAACAGCCTTATGAGTTAGACTCATTATTCTTTTGATACTATTTTTGAGTGTTTATGTCTCTGGTAGCAAATTTAATTCTAGTCTTGGTTTTCAGATAATTTGACGTGTCCACTAATTTATTTTTTAAATGATAAATTTATCTTGTTTGGTATCTGTTGGACCCTTTCCATCTTAGATTCATGGGCTCTATTTCTTCAGTTATTCTTTTTTCTCCATTCTCTCCTAATGAATTCCTGTTAGATTGATGGTGGTGCTTCTGAGTCAGTTCTTCACATCTCTTAACATTTCTGCTACTTTTTCTCTATGTGGGAGACTGTCTCAGGCTAGCCTTTCAGCTCATTAATTGGCTATTTAGCTCTGCCTTTTGTTCTTCAGCCTTTCTATTGCATTCCCCCCCATATTTTTCATTTCCAGAATAAGGATATTTAATTGGTTCTTTTCATAAATCACCTACATTTATCTTACATGTGTCTTTTTTTCTTTTTTTTTTGAGGTAAAATTCACAGAACATAAAATTTCACCATTTTGTCCTCTTTTAAGTGGACACCAGTGGTTTTTAGCACATTCACAATATTGTGTGAGCACCAGCACAGTCTAATTCTGACACATTTTCATCACCTCCAAAAGAAAGCCTGTACTAGTTAACAGTCACTCCTCCTTCCATTCCCCTTGTTCTTGGCAACTACAAATCTGATTTCTGTTTGTATAGATTTATTCATTCTGGACATTGCAGATAAATGGAATCATGCCTTTGAAGTTTGCCTTTTTCACTTAGCATCTTTTCAAGGTTCATTCATGTCACAGCATGTGTCAGTACTTCATTTCTTTCTGTGGCTAAATATTCCATTGTGTGGATGTATCATTAAGTATTTTATTTACCCATTCATCAGGGATAGACACTTGGGATGTTTCCACTTTTTGCTTATTCAGAATAATGTTGTTATTTGTGAACAGGCTATGTTTGAACTCCTGTTTTCAGTTCTCTTGGATTATATACACAGGAGTGAAATTACTGGATTGTACAGTAATATTGTGTTAACTTATTGAGGAACTGTGAAACTGGTTTGCAAAGGTAGCTGTGCCCTTTTATGTTTTACCAACAGTGTATGAAGGTTCCAAATTTCTCCACATCCTTGCTAACCCTTATAACTGTCTTAAAAAAAAAAAGCCATCCTTGTGGCTATGAAGTGATATCTTACTATGATTTGATTTGACCTTATATGTAGAAAATCCTAAAATTAGTAAGACTTTAAAGACGATTGTATTGAATGTTTAGATCAATTTGAGGAATATTTTGCTGATCTTTAACAGTACTACAACTTCCAGTCTATGGACGGAGGCTGTCTTTCCATTTCTTTCAGCAGTGTTTTATACTTTTCACTGTACAAGTATTTTACTTCCTTGATGAAACTGATTCTTATTTTCTTTTTGATGCTACTATAATGGAATTATCTTAATTTCCTATTTGGATTCTTCATTGCTAGAGATAGAACCACAGCTGATTTTGTGTGTTGATTTTGTTTTTTGCAACTCTCCTAAATTTGTTTATTATCTCTAGTAGTTATGTTATGGATTGCTTAGGATTTTTCATATGAAAAGTCATATCATTTGCACCTAGAGGTAGTTCTTCCTTTGCACCTTTGGATGCCCTTTATTTCTTACTCTAGTTGCACCACCCAGTTCAATCCTGGTTTGAAGCAGTGAGAGGCCACAGACTTTTCTTGATCGTTATCTTAGGGGAAACGTTCCAGTTTTTCCCGTTAAGCTGTTAAGTTTTTCATAGATGGCTGTTCTCAGATTGAGGAAGTTCCTTTCCGTTCTTAATTTGTTGAGTGCTTTTATCATAAAAGGGTGTTAGATTTTGTCAAATATTTTTTCTGTATCTCAAGATAATCACATGGATTTTCTCCCTTCATTCTACTAATACGGAGCATTACATGAACTGATTCTTCAGTGTGAACCACCCTTGCATTCCTAGGTTATCCCACTTTGTCATGGTATAGAATTCTTTTAATGTGCTGCTATATTTGGTTTGGTAGTATTTTGAGCATTTTGCAGTTATCTTCATAAGGGATACTGGTCTATAATTTTCTTGTTGTGTGTTTGACTGTCAACTTGTGTGTTTTTGTGATTGTGTCTTTTGTAAATAGCATATGGTAATAAGATTTTTCCTTTACTTTTAGCTTGACAATATCTCTTTGTGGAGGGTTAAATCCATATATATTAGCTGTCATTATTCATATATTTGGAACCATATTTTTCTACAAGATTTGTCTTACTATTTTGATTTCTCTCTGTTTTCTTTCTTTGGTTCCTCCTCACCCTCACTTTTTATGGTTTTATTGAGTTCCCTCCATTTTTAATTTTTTCCCCCTTTTAACAGCATGAAAGTTGTATACTTACTTTTCTTTTTTATAATTTATTATGAGGTGTCTGGGTATGGGTTTTCTTTCATTTAAATTGCTTGATATTCCATTGTATTCAGTGAATTTGAGAAATTGTGTCTTTGATCCATCCTGGAAAGTTCTTAGTTTTCACTTCTTTGAATATTGCTTTTTCCCAATTTTCATTATTATGTCTTTCTCCATCTCTGATGTTGTGTCTTCTCGGTTTATTTTCTGGGTCTTCCAGCCACTTGTGTTTTCTGTTGCTCTGCGCTTCCTTGTGCCTGATTTCTTCTGGTCTGTCTACCAGTTCACTAGTTCTCTTCAGTTATATCCCAGCAGTGTTTTAACTATCCATTAGCTTCCTAATTTTATAATTTCTTTCATTTCCACAAATTTTATTTGGCTCTTTTTAAATTCTTCTCATTTTCTTTCTCCTGTCATACTTTTACTCTAAAACATATTAAATATGTTTAGTTTATATTCTTTATCTTACCTCAGGGTCAGTAGTCTTTGTGGTTTGGTTCTGTAATTTGTTGTTTTTTCCTGATTTTTTTTCTCATACCAGTTTGTTTCCTCTTATTTCGGTGTTTTTGTTTGTGTGTTTCCTGTGTTTTAAAACTTTTTTGGAGGGTTTTTGTGTGTGTGTGTATATGTGTGGTTAATCTTTTATTCTAAAGTTCATTTTAGGAGTTTGTGTCATACAGGTAGTCATTTCCAGTCCTAAGTTCAGGCTTTTGGTTAGGAATCTTAAGGTGATACTTCTTTTCTTTTCCATATAGAGCCAGGGTTCAGATGGGCAAATTCCCTTCAGTTGGTCAGTTTCCCTTTAAATACTCATCCACTGAGTGTCATCCATTTGGAAGCCCCCGTTTCAGGGAACATAGTGCCTTTGATCTGATCTCCTACTCATATTAGCCCCACCTGTGTTTCTTGTCTCCCATTAAATGCACATTCTGAGCCACTAGAGAATGTGTAGTTGGTGAACTGTGGATAGTAGGCCAGCTCCACCTTGTGGCCTGTTTTATATGGTTCACTAATTAAAGATGATTTTTACCACTTTTAGAAAATTGTTATTAAAAAAAAAAGAATGTGTGAGACTGTAGTCCACAAGCTTGAAATATTTACTCTGACATTTGACACAAAGTTTGTAGATCTCTGCTCTAAACTGTCAGGCATTAACAAGTACCATTGACTCTAGCACTTGAGTCCATCGGTGGATTAGCACTTTCTTACTTTTCTGCCTCTACTGTCTTGTCTTCTCAGCTCTGCATTCGAAAGGCTTTTTTTTTTAAATGTTAATTTTCAGTTTGTTATATTGGGTTGACATCTAAATCTTTTATTTGTATGAGTTAATCAGTTTTTTCTTTTTTTTTAATGGCTTCAAAGTTCTAAAGGCTTTCTGTTTATTTAAATAATCTTAAAAAAAAAATCTTTGTTTAAAAGTAGTTTTGGTATATGGATGTACATAATCTCTTAGTCATCTTAATTTTACTGAGTAAGGTAATGGCTAATTTAGCCTTAAATTTTACAAGATGTTTTGTTAAGTATATTATGACTTGGATTTCTGCAGTGGAAATTATTGTACTAATTTATATTCTAACCAGTACTGTAGGAATAGTCCCAGCTCACTAATTCTCACCTATATTGAGTATGATCATTTTAAAAATGTTTTAAAGTTTTTTATACCAGAAATGATATTTCACTGTTGCTTTGCCTCCTTTTTAAAAGTCTTTAAGGTTGTTGGATGAAGAAGAAGCGACTGACAATGATTTAAGGGCAAAATTCAAGGAGCGTTGGCAAAGGACGCCATCCAATGAACTTTATAAGCCTTTAAGAACAGGTAAAAATGTCCCTAAATGACTTTCACTTGAGTAAGTTCTCATTTCGTATCCACAATTTTGAATTAGGCTCCATATGAAAATCCAGGTGTTTTTCTTCAGTTTCATGTAAGATTAAAAAATAACAAGGATGTTCATTATGGTTAAGTTCAGGTTCTTAAGAAAGTGAAAATTAAAATGATCCTGTAACTCTTACTTCCTGTTCCAAGTTTTCTGCATATTGTAAAAAAAGATAAATGAGATATTGTATAAGTATATGGTATTGTGATTTCATTTCATTTAGTAGTGATACTACCAGGTAGTAAAAGATGAGTTTTAAAATTTACCTGAAGCCAAATTATTATTTTTAAGACTTTGATTATAAAGATTTTGTGCTTGTTCAGATAAATGATATCTAGACTTTATTTCTCTGTAAAAAGTATTTAATACTATTGTGATTTTTCTAAAAATATATCTGCTTTTCTTATAAGTCAAATTTAAAGAGTGATCCTTTGAGACAGGAACATGTTTGAAGTAAGTTGTAACAGTTTTTGGAGTGGATGTTATCTGTCTTCATTAGTTGTAGAAGAAGGTTAATGTCAGTTGGCTTTTCTTTAGTGGACCGTTACCACAGAGGTGTTTAAGGTTATAACTGTTTTGCTTTACAGTTGATTCTGTCATTTTTCTACCACTGATGATGCCGCGGCCGACAGGAGCTCGGCTTCTGGCATCTCGTGCTTTGGGGCTGTCAGGGAGACAAGTAACATTGGAGAACAAAACTGAGAGTACAACCAGCTTGTGTACTTTACCGTTAAAATCATTGCTGTGCTCTGGTAATATTCTTTTCTTCTTCCGCAGAGGGAAACAACTTCAGAACCGTTTTGGATAAAGCTGTGCAAGCAGATGGACAGGTGAAAGAGCGTTACCAGGCTCACCGAGACACCATTGCACTTCTGTGTAAGCCGGAGCCGGAGCTGAACGCCGCCATCCCTTCTGCTAACCCGGCGAAGACAATGCAGGGCAGTGAGGTGAGGATGTGACTTTGATGTGGGTGGTCAGCCGCTTCTGAAAACTATTACGTACAATGAATTGCCCAGTTTTTTTCTTACTGACTTTTTTTTTAAAATGATGATATATATTGAGGGTGGTTGTGTTTAGAGCAACATGATATATATACACTGTGTAAACGTTATATTACTATCCATTTATTGAATGCTTTCTCTATGAACTCGGTACTGTATATATTCAGTCTTTAATTCAGATTTGATAAGAGGGAGCAGCTTGGAAGTAAAAGCACTTCCTTAAGGTGAAAGGACTGGATTGGTGAGATATTCCTCTGACCACAGATTCTTTGTTTCTTACACCTTTCTATATGCCACCTTATATCATATTCCCCTGGGACTACCTCTGAAGGGAGGGTTGTCAAGGTGTGCATGTTAACAAGTGGATCACATTGGCATGATGTTTCTACTGGTTACAGGCTCACGGGAGCGTGGTTGGCTGAGACCCGAAGGGGGTGGGTGTGACTGATCACTGTGAGGTGAGATGGGGGCCCTGAAGTACGGGAAAGTAAGCCAACGGGCAAGAGATACTGCCGAAAACTTCTTGAAAAAGGTGTATTTCCTGTGACAATAGTTCTCAGAAGTTATCATTGTCGTTTCTTACTTGTCTTTGCTGAGAAGCATTTCATGTATTCATTCAGCCAGGACTTAGTGGATAGGTATCTACTGTGTAAGGCACTGTGCTCGGTACACACGATGGCCAGCCCTTCCTCTCCATTCACCAGCAGGTGAGGAGGAGACGCACACAAAGATAACTGGAATACCTGGTAGGAACTGAAAAGTGTGAGGCCTTTAGGTGACAGGATACTGAACGTTCCAGCATTTGGAGCCCGTCGCCCAGGAGGCTTCTTAGGACATTGGCACATTATGAGAACAGTGGACAGGCAGCACGGTGAACAGGAGTAGGATCCGAGAATATTGAGTGAGTGTGTGCAGAGCAGCTGCCAGAGGTTGAGTGGAAACCGGCCCCTGCAGTGAAGGGAGAGCAGCGTCGGGATTTGCACAGGACCTGCATCTCTGGTTGGGGGCCAGAGAGTGCGACGGCTGTCCAGTCAGATGCTCTGAGGATGTCGGGGAGAAAAGGAAGGTGGTTGAAAGGTTAGCTTGCAAAGAGGAGACTGCACACCCACAGAACAGCAGCATGTTCTGGCCTCTTGATTTTAGGAGAACTCTCTTTAATGTCCCCCCTTGTTTCTTTTTAGTGTCACATCATGGCTCAGAACTTACATGGCTTTAGTTCTTTGGTTCTGCTTTCTATAGAAAACAAAGTTTTTTTTTTTTTAATTTGTAATAGCTGCTCTGTTAATCCAGAACAGTATTACATAGGGGAAGAAAAGTTTGACAGTCAATATGAAGTTATTTTATTGAAACTAGATTTTCTGCATGGAGGTAACCAAGAATTTTCAGTGCTTTATATATTCATTCATCATGTATCTTTTATCAGAAAAGGCAAGCATCATTTGTTTATTAAAGCTCCTTCAGATAGTTGTCCCCATAGTTGATGACACATTAACAGAGTTTTTATGAGAAACACCCAGCCATTTGGATTGCTGATTATTAACGTGATACAAAGAACACGTTTTATTAAGAGGTCCAAGCATAATGGGTAGAGCTGTTTTTTCTTTCATTCTGAAGAGGCTAACTGTCTAGTTATTTATCTTTGTTCTGTTTGGGCAGCTGTTTTTAGGTACTGAGAAGATGTTAGTTTCTATACTATATAAGACAGCCTGTTTCAAGATATTCCTGACTTTCAGCTTTGTTTACTAGACTATTTTTTAAAAATTAATTCTGCATATTCCTATTTCTTCCCTAGCTTTATTTCACTTGGCTTCTATAAAATTTTCAAACTTCTGTTAGGCATAACATACGTATAGAAGAAAATGACATTTCTTACTTTCCTAATGGCCAAGCAACCTTCACATAGTGTTAAAGTCAAAGTTGAGGTTCCATTATCAATGTAAATTTACCAACAGGTAAAGCTATCAAAACCTTTTCGAATTTATATGCTGCTGTATCCCCCAACACAAAGTGTGTTACATGATTATTGAAATCCTTATAATTCAGCAGAATAAAGGATACTTTAATTCTTGGTCTGTTCCTCATTTTTCCTCTGTTCTCGTCTGAGTGTTTACATGCTTAAGCCTCTGTAGTCCACAGTGCATGCAAAGTAGAGAGTTAAACCGTGAGATATAACCAACAGTTAATAATAATGGCTCCTACTTATGGAGCACTTAGCCTGTGTTAGAAATTACATTGAGCACTTACATGGACTTACTTCAGTCTTTACAATGGTCTTGACATACAGGACAAGACTATTATTCTTGTTTTGCAGATGAGTTTTCCAGGTAAACCGCCCTTGGTTACACAGTAACTAAGCCCATGATATTCACTAAGGGAGTATAATCAGAGTTGAAATATTTATTTTATGTTATCATGTTTGACTTTGCTGGACAGCTAGATTCCTTCGTTTCTGTGTTGAAGTTTTGATTTAATTTTGTGTTTTGGAGGGGCAGAAGAATGTTGATAGTTCAGAAGGTTCTACAGAGAACCCTCTGCCCTGTTTCCACCTTGTTCCCATCTGCTCCGTATGCGTTACAGTGTTCGTTAGTGTCTGGTCTGTGCTTACTGCTTTTGCTTTTGTGAGAAATATATACGCACACAGATATATGTAATATATTATATGTGTGTATAGCTTTATATTCTGATTTCCCTTCTTATTCAAAATGCGACATACAATGTATATGCTTTTGCACCTTTTTTCATTTAACAGTATGTCCTGGAAGTCATTTGCAAGCAAGATTGACTTGCTTTTCTAGCGTCAGACGCTACTGGACCCCTTGAATAGACTTTGCTGTGTCCATCCAGCCGTGATTCTTTGTCCTCTTCCTCCTTTTACAGTGTCTGTGGTTTGATGCTTCTTGGACCTCTGGGAGTCACGTTAGAACATGTTAAGAGACTCTGCATTTAAGATAGGAGGCCTGGGAGATACAGTGGTTACCAGAGGCTGAAATGTAGAAGAAACTTGAGGCTTTTCCTCAGGTTTTGGTTTTCACATGGGAAGGTCGCTCTGGACCCTCTTGTCAAGGAGCTGATAACTAAGGCCATGGGCTGCGGAGCAGGACAGGGCTTCTTAGGCATGGGCAGTATGTGAGGAGATCTTTGGAACGGAAACTGCTGCTGGTAAGAAGCGAGTCAGGAGTGGAGATGGGGTTCTTGGACTGTCCCTTCTTTGCCCACTTTCTTGCTCTGAGCATTCTTGGTCAAGCAGATGGGGGCTTGGGGTCGCCCAGGTGAAGTGTGAAGAGCTGTGAGTGAAAGGGAGCAGCTCACAAGTGGTCTTAGCGGGCACTTGAACCCTGAAACACTACTACTGCATAGGGGTGTTGGGCATTTATGAATCATGTGGCTGTTAGGCGGAGACTGCCTGGACTGACTGAGAGGCGGAGCTCATGATGTGGAGAGAGATAGGACCTACCCCTTCTCTCCCAGGATTTAAAACCAGCCTGTGACTTAGAGCTTTCCGTCTGTCTCTCTCAAGTGCTGTCTCCATGCACCTCTCTCTGTTTTTATCTCCACATCTCCCTCTCTCAGTCTCCCTATGTTGGCAAATAGGGCATCTCTTGACAAAACGCACCTTCCTCTCCATCATCGTGAGGACGCAGTAAGGTGTACACGTGGTTAGAGAGTGGTTTGGAGCCAGGCAGACTTAGGTCTCAGGTTTCCCCTCTGCTCCTTCAGTAGCTGTGCAACCTCAGGCAGGCTACTTAAATTTCTGAGACTCAGTTTCTCCATCTGTGGAATAGAGGTAATAAATACATACTCTATGGGATATTCTACGGAGTACATTAAATTAAATCTGTGAAGTGTTTAGGACCGTGCCTGGTCCTAAACTGATAACTGTTCAATAAATCTGTTTTCATTATTGCTGCTGGCATTGCAGGCTGAATCCACTCAAGGTACAGCAGTGTCTGTATTTAAGTAAACCTGATGTCTGAATTATACTTGGCTCTCTGAGAAATCATCTCTCCCTTACCCTGGTGAACCTTTGTATAATTCCCTTCTGGTAATTGTCTTCTGCTTTTTGGGCAATTCAGCTAAAGTTTTTTAAAATTGTTTAGGTGGTGAATGTCTTAAAATCCTTATTGACAAATCTTGATGAAGTAAAGAAGGAAAGAGAGGGGCTGGAGAATGACCTGAAATCAGTGAATTTTGACATGACGAGCAAGTTTCTGACTGCTCTGGCTCAAGATGGTGTGATAAACGAAGAAGCTATTTCTGTTACTGAACTGGATCGAATCTATGGGGGTCTCACAACTAAAGTCCAGGAATCGCTAAAGAAACAGGAAGGACTTCTTAAAAATATTCAGGTAGAGTTTATATACTTCAGTAAGATTATTTAAAAAATTACAGAAGGGATAATCTGTATACAGGAGGGATAATCTGGATTAAATCTATCCATTTAGGATTGTGTTTTTGGCAAGTATTCCATATTAATAGAAACCTGTAAACTATTGGTTATATTTTCATGCCCACTAAATTTGGGATAATTTTACTAATGGAAAGCTATAAAGTACTGTGCTACTCCAAAGGGAATATATTAGGTAAATGTCTAGTAATAACTCAATGTAATCATAGATGATTTTCATAGTTGGGAAAGTATCCATAGAAATGTCATGAACAATATTAATTTCATAAATACATGTAATTGCATAAATCTTTCTTTTCATAAGGTCTCACACCAGGAATTTTCGAAAATGAAACAATCTAACAATGAAGCCAATTTAAGAGAAGAAGTCTTGAAGAATCTAGCTGCTGCGTATGACAACTTTGTTGAACTTGTGGCTAATTTGAAGGAGGGCACAAAGGTATGAAGTACACAAAAAACAAGAGCTAACTGACCAGTGTGGACGTGAGGATATAGTTTGAGAAGTTAATTGGTATTTCCAAATGGACCAAATCATTCTTCATCTTGAATTCCTTAGCTTTCATGGCTTTGGTCCCGAGAGCTTTATTATAAGTGGGAGAAAGCTTAATGAAGGTGGTGGATTTCATGGGAACTTTGCAGAATGAGTATGTGTAGACATTCATTTCAGGTAGCAGGAATTAGCAAAAATCAGCAATACTTTGTTACATGATAGAAAGTCGGCCGATCTGAGTGAATTCTGAGGGATAGGAGCAGTAGTCAGAGCGGATACGTGATGGGGAAGGGGGTTGGTTTGACTTTCATAGTCTCTGCTGATGGTCTAGATGATGATAGATTTGTGATATGCTTGTGTCTTAGAGTGCTTACTGAATATGTTTCAGTATTCCCTAGCCTTTCCTTTAAATATTTTTGGGGAAATGCTTATATTTGGTTTGACTAATTTTGGGGAACAAGTGATTTCTTGTTTTTCAAATACGTAATTCCTTTTGGTACTTTAACTCCACAATGATGACTGAATAAAGTTATCTTGATGTTAATACAGTAGGTATAATGTAAAACCCTCTAAAGAGAGCATAGACATACTGCCAAAACCTTCCAAAGAGAGGATAGTAAAATGCCATTTTAATTTGGTTTAAATGCTTTGTTGAAATAGGTAAGCTGAGAAAACTCTGCAGAGTGCTTTTGGAAATTCTTTGAAAAGTTTCTGAAATGATGCTTGCATTTCTGAAGTGAACATGCAAATCTAATGCTTCCACTTAAAATAGGTTGTTTTTTTAAGTAGTTGATTTTTCTCTAGGAATTGGGAACTTGTTCACGATCATGAAACTTGTCACTGAATTTTTGGTGACAGCACTTTCTAACGATGCTTTTATTTATTTATTTTTTTAGAGAATTTTAGGTCATATTTATGACTGTCTCTCATGTAGGGGGTTTTAGTTCTTTAACTGTTATTGACAAATGAGCTTTAAATGGTGTTCCTCTTAGATTAAAAATTGTTCTGGTTTATCACTGATGTTTGTTCTTTGCTTGTAGTTTTACAATGAGCTGACTGAAATACTTGTCAGGTTCCAGAACAAATGCAGTGATATAGTGTTTGCACGGAAGACAGAAAGGGATGAACTCTTAAAGTAAGTTTTATTTTCTGTATCAGATTGTACTTTTGAAGTATTTTTCTTTAAAAAAAAATCATATTCTTGCTTCCTCTTTTAGAAAAATCACATGTGGCTACTCTTGTGGTGGGTTGGCAGTGTGAGTTAGCAGTTTCCTTCATTTCCTCTGTGGTGGTTTACAAAGCAGCAAGCAACCAGCCGTGTGATTCAAGAACAGCAGGGTGTAAAGGACCACAAACTCCAGATGGAGGGAGAATAGTGATGTCACAGAAGTGATGACAGCACAGCTCATGGAGGCAGATCTCAGGAAATGCCAAGACACAGGAGCAGGTTACCTTGAAGTGGCAGATGGGTTCCTTAAGTGAAACTGCAGGCACAGAGCATGAGGAGAGAGGATTTATAGCTCAGAAAATGTCAGCAAAATCACTTTCTATGTGGCCTACTGGGGCAAGCTACAGAGGACTTACTCTGTGGGGAGTAATGGAGAGCTGACTCAGCATTGATACCCTTTAAGAGGAGAAAGAGAACAGAATTTAACAAAACTAATAGATGAAGAACATTCACCAGAATGACATTGTCACAGAACAGGTGAAAATTTTACTGTGAGTTAAACGGTTAGGGAACAGTCACTAAGGACTACCACAAACAAAGCCAGTACTCAAGGAAGATGGTAGGAAAACAAGAGGTCGTAGAAGGTGGAGAGTCAGGATTTAGGACACAAGTGGAAGAGACAGAGCCGTCACAGATGTAAGGTGGAAGGAGGAGGAGCCAAAGCAAGAAGAGACAGTGAAGAAAAGACAGGAGCAAAGAGCGGCAAAGAAGAAATCAAAGACAGTGAAACCAAAGCAGGGAACAGGATTAAGTAGAGAAGGTGGGCAGGAAGACCTAACATATGTAAGACTGAATTCCCTTTAAAGAAGAAAATCCCAAACAGTGAACAGAAGAAACTTAATGCTATTACTCAAGAATATTCTTAGAATAAGTCCTGTTGAAAGGGTATACATCATTTGGTCAGGAAAAACGAGCAAGGACTGTTAACACTTATTTGTATTGAGGCATGTACATTATTAGCCTTCGAAGATAATGACAAAACTTCCCTGGTGGCCCAGCGGTCAATACCCTGTGCTCCCAACACAGGGGGAGTGGGTTTGATCCCTGGTTGGGGATCTAAGATCTGACATGAACATGGTGTGGCCAAATAAATATTCTTTATAAAAGAAAATAGCAGAATCCTATTAAAGGCAGTCAGGAAGACAGATCAGCTCGGTTTATGAAAAGGTGAAAAAAACTTAGGCTGGCAGCACTGCATGCTGGAAGAGAATGGAATGATTGCTATTGAAACTCAGGGAAAGCAAATATAAGACAAAGATCTTATATCCAGCCAGCCTGTCCTTCAGGTATATTCAAAGTCAGGTGGTCGTTAGTGATGAATATGAAGAACCCAGAGACTGTTATACTCAGGAGCCTTTCTTGAGCCCCTCAGATGACCTGACCATTATTCTCATCTGTCCATGCTTAAACAGTTTCCTGTAGAAGAATGGGAAGACGTTAAGAGCTACTTCCTTCCAGCCCCAAGATAGAGCAGGGCCATTTGTTACTAGTTTTTCTACTAAACCTTTAAAAAGCAAATAATTAAAATCTTTTAAAAATGGTTTTAGACGTTAAAAAACAAAACCAAATTAGTTTTACTAGTAAGTAAATTTGAAAAGATTAAAACAGAGCAGTGTTTGGACTAGTTTTATTTATGAATATGGATGTGAAAGTTCTAAATAAAATGCTTGCTGTTCATATTCTCCAGTATATTATTAATAAAGGAGCATGACCATGACCAGGGAGAAGTGGGTGGTTATTCCATGAATACAGTGATTGGTTTAGCATTTTTACATCTAAGGAGAAAAAGATGATCTTCACAGATGAGGAAAAAGCATGAGAAAGTTAATGGAGAAACTCTATAAAAACATTCCCCCTAAAGACAAGTGCCAGCTATCAGTGCTGTTATTCAGTATTATATTGGCAGTACCAGCCAGCACCATTAGATAAAAGGCAATTAGAGATACAAAAATTGTAAACTGTCACTACTTCCAGACTTTATGATTGTACATCTTGGAAACCTAAAAGAATCAGCAGCCAAACTCTGCAAATAATAAAAGAATTGGTGATTATAAAAATAATTTGTAGCAATCAATAGCTTTCATACAAATAAAGACAGAGAAGATACAATGGGAGAAAAGACCTCAGTTAAATAGACATGAGAAAGTAAAATACATAAGAATGAATTTGTCATATATGAGACCTGTATGAAGAAAGCTTTGAAACAACTATTCAAGGACACGAGGGGATTTGAGCAACTTATAAGACATATCATGTCCTTAGATAGGATGAGACAGCTTCATGAAGATGTCAGTTCTAAATAAATTTATGCATTCAACATAATTTTGATTAAAAAAACCAACAGATTTTCATCTATAAGTAGACAAGTTGTTCTAAAGCTCAAGGTGAAAAAAGTTAAGCAAGAATAGCCAGAAAAACTGCATAAAAATAACAGTAATGGAAACTAATTTACCAGATTTTAATATATGTAATATTGTCTCTAATAAAAACACAGTGGTACCGGCACATGATTAGACCAAAGACAGAAGATAGGAATAGATTTAAATCCTTATGTGAATTTAGTGTTTAAAGAAAAAAAATATCCTAAATCAGAGAAGTTAAGAGACAAGTGCCTAGTCATTTAGGAAACAAAAGTTATTTTTACAGCAGAGTAAGTTCCAAAGAGATCATACTTGAAATGTATAAAATGAAATGAAAAGAAAAATGAGAGAAATTTTTAGTAAAGCTGAAATAGGAAAGGTGTTTGTAATTCTAACTTAAAATCCAGAAGCCATTAAAGAAAAAAGAGTAAGTTCATCATAACATGATCAGCAGAGTCAAAATGTAGTAAGCTGGTGGAAACTGTTTGAAACTTATTCATGGGACAAAAGGCAAATTGACCAAATTTATAAAGAACTCTGAGATACTAATGAAGAGGGAAAAAAACCCAATAGAAAAATTGGCAAAGGATGTGAACAGAAATTCTGCAGATGAAATAAAAGTGACTGTTAAGCATATGAAAAAATACCTCCCCTCATTCAATATAAATATGAGTTAAAATTACTCTGAAATGGGATTTTTCAGATTGTCGAGTTTGGAAGTTTGATAACGTGCTTTATCGGCACACTCTGGGGAGCTCGTCTCATCTGCTGCAAGAGTGCACAGTGGGGCAGCCCTTTGTGGGACCAGAAAGGTCTGAACTGCAGATCCATACGTTATTTAGTCCAGCTTTTTTTTTTTTAAAGGATGTTTTCTATTTACCAATATACAAAACTCTCTAAGATGAATAAATTATGGTAGAAAAAAATAAGGTTACAGACGAGTGTAAAGTATGCTTTTTGTGTAAAAAGGGAGAAAATAAAAATGAACATTTGGATTGGTTTATTTCTGATCCGGAAGCTCTGGACAGGTTCATAAGAAGGAAGAGTATAAAAAAGAAAGAAGAGTATAGTGTCTGTGTGTTTGTGGGAGTGAATGGTGGAATGAGAATTTGTAGATTGTGGTCTGTCAGTTTTTGAATCAAGTGAATATATTTCCATTTTGTAAAATTATATCAAATTTAAATAATCATGGAGATTCTGAATGTTTTTTATAGTCACCACCAAGTAGTCTATAATTCAAATTGTGTTCCCATCCTTGGCGCCCCAAGGGTGTTGAGCCCTTTGTTCAAATTCAGTCTTATAGAGAAGCCTAGTTCATGAAACAGATAAAAATGGATCTGTGATTTAATAGCTTTGTTTTATATAATGGCTAGGAAATTTATATAGTGGCTAGGAAATTCTCATTTGTCATAATAAATGTGTTATTTACTGCAACCGTGTCTGGTTTTTCAAAGGAAAGAAAGATGTTTTATATCTATATTCATGTTAGATATTGTATTTATGATTAAATATACTCAACTAAGTAAATAAAGATAATTATTGATGAGTAAAATACTTAAAATATTAAATGTATTATATTTACTGTATATGGGATATATATACACACATGCATATACTAAATGTTTCAGAATCTGACCTTTTAAAATTTTAATATGGGCTAAAAACTTGTGGTTTATATTGTAAGCATTTATTACAGATTTATAAACATTTAAGAAGTATTTTTGATTTCTTGATGAATGTGTGTTTGTTTTATTTATATATGGAGTGTCTAATTTATCTTTGAACCATGATTGTTTTTGAGAGTGAAAGTGTGGTCTGGGGAAGCTTGCTGGAATCGTTCCATCAGGACAGCAGGGCCTGCCGCAGACATTTGAGGGCATGTCATGTTTATTGTTCTGTGCTTGTGAATCAGCACAGTGAGAAGTTGATCAGTACCAAATATTTCATAAGAGTGTGTTTTACTTTAGGGTTTTGTTTAGTGGGATTTTGGAGTAAATTCCAATTTACTGTCAGAGGAGTCTTTAAATTGTTTTTTAAAAATTTTGATCTGTATTTTAATGGTGCTTTCAACATCTGTCTTTAATGTGATTACCTTATGTGAGGTATCTTTTAACATAAAATATCTCAGTGCCATCTTTTGGATATCTTCAGGAAATTTTCATCAAGAAATTTCCATTGTTTTCTGATATATAGTGATTAAGATATTAGGTAGGTGACTATGAACAGTTGTAATTTTCTGGTCATTTTTAGATTTTTATGTTAGTTTCTCATCTAGGGCTTGACCTCTTACTAGAGAGAGGGCAGTTTCTTAGGACCACTTGCTCAGTTTAACATGTTCCCTATTCTGGCTATAATTATGGTCTCTGGAAAAGTTTACCTTTTCCTCTTGTTTTCGAAATAGAATAAAAAATAACTTTATTTTATTCAGTAGTAGGAAGAAAGATGATTTCAATTAGTTCTTGCTGAGAACAGAAATATATAGTATATTTTAAAATACTATCACTGTTTTGATTCTATTTTCTGTGTTGCATACATGAAGAAAAGAAAAAATACCTGGTATTTTGCAGGTGTTGGTTTTCAAAATTGTGTTGGTTTCTAATGCTTCTGTCTTTAATAAGGGACTTGCAGCAAAGCATTGCCAGAGAACCTAGTGCTCCTTCAATCCCAACACCCACATACCAGTCCTCTCCAGCCGGGGGGCCCGCACCAGCGCCACCAACTCCAGCACCAAGAACCATGCCGGTCAGTAAGCAGCCACACCTTTTAAGATTGAAGTTTCATGGGTTTGTGACACTTTGCTAGCTGTAAATGGTAACACAGACTTTACATTGTAGAGGTCTGGTGGTCAGGCGACCAACTGTCTGATGTTTTGCAGTATAAAGAATAAAGAATACACATTCTTTATTCATGGATCACTTGTGGATTTTTGCTAAAAAATGTTTGCCTTGAGTCTAATAAAGTCTTTGGAACCAACTTCCAGTGTATAGCAAAGACAGTGATAAAACCATAAATCGTGCTGTTAGGAAACACTTGGACAACCTAGAACAGGAACATTCTTTGAGTCACTTGGCTTGGTTTTCTAAAGGCAAATGTTATAGAAATAGAAAAGCTAGATGGAGAGGGCATGTTCTAGATTAAAAGAGAGGAAAGACTCATAAAAATCAAATGCAGTACATGAGCCTCAACTGGATCTTGGTTCATAAAAACTCTTACAGGTGTTTTTATGAAGAATAAGGACACTTGAATGTAGGGTGGATACTCAGTGATACTAGGGAATAATTCTTAATTTTGGAGTAACTATTAATTTTCTCAGGGTGAAATGGTATTGTGATTATGTAGGAGAATATTAGGACTTGTACACTGAAATCCTTAAGGTCAGTGTCCTTAAGTTTGCAGCTTAACTTTCAAATGGTTCTGCAAATATGTAGAGATAAGTATAAGAATATAATTACAGATAAAGCAAAAGTGGCCAGATGTTAATAATCAATGAATTTAATTGGTAAATATGTGATTATTTATGATAGTACTCTTTTAAGTTTTCTGGTGTTTGAAATTTTAATACGAAAAATCATGGGGCCAGGAGGAGGTAAGAGATAAACACTATCTGACCTGTTCCTTCCTCGTACCTCAAATGTCTGACCACAGATGGGAGCAGTAAATGATTAAATATTGGGCATCAGGAAAAGAGCAGTGCTATGGAATATCCACAAATTGGAGAATTAGTTTTCAACTATGGTACATTCCTGGAGTGGTGAGCCCACATTTAAGAATGGGAATTAGAAATACATTCGGTTGGATTCTGGAGTTTCTCATATGCTGTCAATTCATTTTAATTGATAGCAATTTGACAGAACCCTGACATGGGTTGTAGTCAGTGCCGACTTTTTCTTACAGCCTGCTAAGCCCCAGCCCCCAGCCCGGCCTCCACCTCCTGTGCTGCCAGCAAATCGGACTCCTGCTTCAGCTCCAGCTGCGGCTCTAGCTCCGGCTCCAGCTCCGGCTCCAGCTCCAGCAGGCACTGGGACCACTGTACCAGCTCCATCGCAGACTCCCGGTTCAGCTCCCCTGCCACAGGCCCAGGGACCCCCGTACCCCACCTATCCAGGGTATCCCGGGTAAGGCTGAAACTCTATGTCCCAATAACTGGCTGATGTTTCTAACTCTGGTTAGTCTTTTAAAAGCAAGGTCACCCATTCTCTGAATGGAGGTGTCATATAGGCTAAATTGTCAGCTCACACAGAAATAGAGTAAGTTATAGTCACTTTGAGCAGTTGAATAGCCATTTCCCAGGTTTATTTAATTTGTTTTTAGCTTTTACATGTTGTGTTTATAATAAACATACCTTCTCTATGGAATTCAGAATGTGTTTCCTTGGTCATCTTTATTTAGGTGATAAACAGGTAGGTGCCTTTCTGAACTTAGCAAGACTGATAAGGCCTTCTTCACATATCTGTACTGACGTTTTGACATTCCAATCAACTCTTGAACCAGAAATCTATCTAATTATGGCATATACTTAAAGATCAGCTGTCTTTGTTATTTTTTTAATCTTAAAAATCCAGACATTTAACTACCTTTTAAGATGTCTTCCAAACTTAGTAAGTACATTTTATCTTCCAAATGTTAAAACTGTGAAAACATTATAAATCTATGAGCATTACAGTAAACATTGAATCTTGTAGTATATGTGCTGCCGAAGCAAGCACTAAACATTGAATCTTGTAAAACAGAAATGTACATAGATTGCCACAGTAAAATGAAGAGTCTCTTTTTTTTTTTTTTTTGAGTCTCTGTGTTTATTCTTGGTTATGGTTGAATATTTAATCTTATTTCCTTAAAGAATCTTTATTTTCTGGGTAGTATTAAATACTTTTTTGTTTCATTTCAGTTAATAATAGGATAGAACTCTTTTCTCTAGCAAGTACCTTGGAATAGCTGTTTTTTCTCTCTCCACTGTTATGTAATAGACTGAGAAATAGAGGAACATGTGGTTTTCTTGAAAAAAACTTCATTTTAGAATAATTACTGTATGGTTCATTTTCTAGTATTTGATTTACCAATCTAGCTTTTTTTTTTTTGTTCTTCTTCCCATCAGGTATTGCCAAATGCCCATGCCCATGGGCTACAATCCTTACGCGTATGGCCAGTATAATATGCCGTATCCACCAGTGTATCACCAGAGCCCTGGGCAGGCTCCGTACCCAGGACCCCAGCAGCCTTCATACCCCTTCCCTCAGCCCCCACAGCAGTCTTACTATCCACAGCAGTAATATGTCAGCTCAGAAGCTCAGCTGGTTCAGTTCAAAGGGAAAGAAATACCAGCCCTGCAATAAGTGTACTAAACTCTACGCTCTGGTTACTGTAACGTCCTCTCCTGTGCTGAACACAGTGTATAATTTCTGTTTGCAGCTAGAAGCTGTGCCCCAGTTCCACACTTGATTCTACTTGGGCGATTTGCTGCTGTTGCAGTGTAAACACTAAGTATAATAGAATTTGAAGTAAATTGCATTACAGTTCATAAAAGCTGAAAATGAGAAACCCACCAGTGAAACATTTGAAATTATTACACTTAAGTCTACGTGATTGGAACATCAGATGCTTACAACGATGGTTTAAGTACGGATATACAAGAAAACTAAGTTATCTTTCTCTTTTGGTTTATTGATTTGGTTTGATTTTCCTTACGCTATTTTGCATAATCAAAACATTGTAAATCTTTTAATTTAAAAATAAATTCCTTAAGAACAGTTGTCATTGTTATGTTTTGTCATTGATTCTCATTGCTGTCTAATTTCTTCTTGGTACTAGTCTCATTTTATGTGTACATAAGTTAAGCAGATCCTGTGTTAAGTGCATGATTAATGCAAGTTAATAGTCAGGTTCAATATATCTTATAGGAAAACCAAAAGGATAATAACCATAATTTATCTTTCATATGCTGATTAGTATATTAATTTTGACATTTATTTTGAAAAACCTTATAATGTGGAAGAAACACAGTTGCTACCAAAGATTCTTCAAATATTCAAGTGAATATGTATATTTAATGTTTTATTAAACTTCTCCAAGAAATCAATACAAATTCTGATAATAATTTTTTTCTTTTTTTCATAATCTGGTTAAAATAAATACATGTCATTAACAGTACTGTCTAATGTAATGGAATTGTTCAAAGAAAATTGACTGTACCCTTCTGTTCCTTTTTTTCACCTTACTGTCTTAACCTAGTAACATTGGAATGCGCAATGTGTATGAATAGATATGATAAGCCCTTTCATTTTTATGCTCCTGAAAGATTGGACTATTTTATAATTCAGGGAGTGCACAAAACAATTGTTGGGAGCATATGCCAATTCTGGAATAGGCTGTGTATTTAATACTAGTCTGTGCTGTTCGGATAACTAAGCACTGTATAAACCTCAGTGAGACTTGCCTGGTGGGATGCATAGATGTGCATCGTGGAATGAGAAAGTGAGAAGGGAATGAGTTGTCTGATATCCCAGTGAGGTCTGTTCTGTGTGAGGCTCATATCTGAACATACCAGACATCATCTGAGCAGAAATGACTGTGTTTATGCTCACTTTCAAAGTTTTAATGCTAACCTTTTGGTGAATCGTTGTTTCATTTCAGTGATACTGTCAGTTGCTCCATTGTTGTTTCCGTTTGACAGTTTGAGTTTATATTTTTAAATGCGGGGCTGAAGGTGTGATTGTAAAGGGAGCTAATTGGTTTAAAATATATGTATATTTTAAAAAATCCTACTTTGTTGTTGTATGTAGAAAACATGAAGGCATGTTACTCAGTATAAATGACTTTTACATGCAATACTGAAATTGCTTTAAAGTTCAGTAGTTGAAACCTTGGCAAAAATAGTTTTTTACATATCATAGCTGACTTCTATTAATATGGAATCATCAGAATATGACATGGACTTGTTTGACTCTTGTGTAAATGGCACTTAAGTTCCTCCTCCTTGTTATTCAAGGTACCATCACCAACAGAAGATACTCAGTGAGATTAGGGGTACCCCAAATTGCTAGTTTATAATTCTCACCAATGCAGGAAAAAAAACAAAATTGGCCTGAATATTCTCTTGGGGACAGAAGGCACTATTAGAAAAGAGTGCGTCAGAGGGCCAAAAGAGAAGTTAGAAGGCTGTTTAGCTCATTTCCTGTGCTAGGCTAGGCTTGTTGTCAGAGCCCCGGGAAGATGGTTCAGAAACTTCAGGAAAGGAGCCTCCGCAGAGCCTCGTGGCAGCCTCCCCGGCTCCCTCAGCTCTGTTAGCAAACCCAAGGCCATTCCCTCTTGTCTGTTCCCTCATCCTTTAGAGGATACAGGATGCTTTCTTTAGGTCACCTGTGTCCACAGATGACCAAGTTTTCACAGGCCGTCATTGGCTGGATGTGTCTTCATGGGGCTGTCTAGTTCCATTAAGGTGACACATGGAAAGGTTTTCTTTCGTCTGTTTTGCATCCTAACAAACAAGAAGGAAGCCCTTCTTGTTGCCAAACTTTTTTATCCTTTGCTTTCTGTGTTCCAGAAAACACCCTACAAAGTTATGGGTAACGCTTTTTATTTAGAGGAAGGAGAGTGTCACTCTGGTTCAGGTATGTTGTACCTATGTTTATAGTTAGGCTATTTGATTTCCTAAAGCACACTATTTCTGTTTTATTTCTTTATATTGGGCTTTAGAATGCTATTTTAAAATGGACTAAGTAATGATCTGAAAAGCTGGTCTGAAGTGGGGGAAAAAACTAACTTATTTCTTACTCTTAGTTTGAGACAGATGGCTTGATTTCTGAGTCTCGTGTCAAATAATGGTGTACTCCTGTGCCCCTTCGTCTTTATTCTCATTTAAGAATAATCGTCATGTGCCATTGCAAGCCAGTCAGTCTTTGTGAGATCTGTGCACCCAACTTCTTTGCAATTTCTAGTCTCCCTCTCCCCAAATCTAAGTAGTTAGAGAAAAAGAGTTACTGATTTTCTGTGCCAGTCAGCAACCTTTCTAGTCAGATTTAAAAAATGTTTTCCATTAGAGCTTTACAGTTGCAAAAGTGCATAGTACACAATTTCTAGTTTCATAAACATGGCAACATGCACTTTGTTAAGTAGGTTTCAGTTTGTTAATGGGGAGCTTTTTTTTTTTAAATCAGTATGTTTTAGGAGAATCTGGCTACAACCTAGTGCCATCTCTCTCTTTTTTGGACACATCTGCAATTATTAGTTGCTTCACAGTACAGAACAGGATACAAAGTAGGAGAAAAAACTGCATTTTAATTACAGGTTTAAAAATAGACTTTAGAACTAAATGGTTGATTATAAGATTTACATGGAATGGCAAAGAAGGAAAATTATATTTTTAAAGAAAAAGAGAATATTCAGGCTTTATTTCTGGTATGAAGTTTATATTTTTAAAAAAAAATCCTATATTATCACGCCAGAGATTTTAGATTCTTTTCTGGTTACAAACATTGCTGGTAGTTGGATTATATTTTTTATTGTATTCATTTCTCTTAGGGGGAAAATTGTAAAGAAAAGGGTCCAGATGAAATGTATCCTAGAAATAAAAGTTGAAAGATTTTTACTTCCTTGTAGTATGAATTCTTATTTAAAATATTTATCCTTCAGCTTTTATATTTCTCTTAATTTCTTCATTGAACAGTGGGTTGGGAAATTAACAAATAACCCACTTGAACTAACTGCATGAGACTTATAAAAAAGACGACAGTGTTTAAGTGTTTTCTTAGAGCTGTCAACCTTGTAGATGATCATGGTTTTCAAACGTCTCTTCTGATTGAACCCAGATCTTTCAGATGAATAATCTCTTCTTTGGGCTTCCCTGGTAGCTCAGCTGGTAAAGAATCCTCCTGCAATGCAGCATCTAGGTTGGAGACTGTGAGTTCTCACTGAGGGGCTTGGGAACCTAGATGTGTGGGGTGGGAGGACAATGGGGATCTAACGGACCCTCCCTGGAACTGGGGTTCACCTGCAGCTGAGGGACAGCAGCTCTGTGCTGGGGCTGATAACTGCAGGGCGGGTGGGCTTGGCCTGAGCACTGCCTGTGCTCAGACATGAAGTTTCCTGGAGCCAGTGCCCCAGAGAGCTCCTGGCCCCTGCTAATGAGGGTCCTCATCCATGGACTGATCTTGCCTTTGTAGTTAACTATCCATCTGGGTCACATCCAAGTCGTCTGCCTTAGCACTCTGCCCACAAGGGACCCTGGCTTGTGTCGGCTCTGTGCCTCCTGAAAGCTTTACTTTTTGCTTAAAAGTTGCTTATGTCCTTTTTAACCAATGACACCAAGTGAAGCGGGTAAATAGGTCAAGTCTATTACCTTTGTGTTTCTTTTTAAGTTTTCCTGTATTTATAATTGTTTTAGTCTCTACACTTTTTTAAGCCATGTGATTCATATGTAATGATCGTTTTCCATTTTCACTTAATATATTTTACTGTTAATACCACATTTTTTTTTTCTTTCTGGATGTATTAGTTATTTTTTTGTAATCCAAGAGGAAAGTTTAAACTAATTTACAGCTTGGTTAAAGTAATTAATACAGTTATGTGATCTGACATTTTGTGTGTTTGGAGTATTTTGTCTTTTCTGTTTCCTTTTCCTATCTTTCATTGCTTGGATTATGTTTTCTTTCTTCTAGTAATTTGGAACACTACTACTATTATTTTCTTCCCTCCCATTCCCAGCCAGATTTTTTTTTTTTTAATATACGTTTGTAAAGTGTTTGGACTTAGTGTTAATGTAGTATTATTCTTATATTATGACCTTTGGGTTGTTAGCTTGGTTGCTTCTGGTTTTTGATGACGAATAAAGCTGTTTTGTGCTCAAGTTTGTTTTCCTCCCAGGTTTTGGCTCCAGTGGCTTCTGCTGTATCTTCACCTGTGTCTCCAGTTGGGGGAATTTTGTCCCGTGATTTCAAATCTCATCTTTTCTCATCCTTTCTATCTGAAGCAGTCTTTAGTTATTCACCTTTCTGTCTCTAGGCCACTGCTGCTGTGTTCCATCGATGTCACGGTTGCTTCCTCTTATTTCATATATCAACTTGGTCAGCATCAGCTATGTGCTTACTGGTTCTAAGGACTGTACTGAGTCTTTAAGTAAGAATTCATTTGTTACAGAAGAACCCCATGAAATTGGTATTTTTATTCATACTGCCTCTACGTAGAGAAGTCAACTTGGAGGCAGCTGAGTGGCTGAGCTGGGGCACTTCCAGCAGCTGCCTGTGATCTGAACAACTTAATGACAGCCTCTTCCTTTGTGCTGTCACTACTGCTAAAAAGAGCCCACGTCCACTGAGTGCTCGCCACGTTCCAGGTCCTCTTCTAAGCATTTCAAATCCATCAGCTTATTCTAGTTAACCAGTCAATATTGAGGTAGTTGACCAGTCAATATTGAGGTGGCCACTAATTTCATTTTGCAGGACAGGAGGAAACAGCATAGAAGGACTTGATTCCTGGGGCTGGCTGGTGATGGAGCCGGGATCTCACTGAGATGAAAAGTTAAAGGCCAAAAAAAACCACCACCAGACAAACCCAAAGCAACTCAAAAATGGACAGGGTCACATTCCATTGTGTATATGTGCCACATCTTCATCCATTCCTCTGTTGATGGATGTTTAGGTTGCTGCCATGTCCTGGCTGTTGTAAATAGTGTTGCTGTGAACACTGGGGTGCATGTATCTTTTTGAATTACGGTTTTCTTTAGGTAAATGCCCAGGAGTGGGTTTACTGGGTCACAGTAGAAACCAGCATAATATTGTAAAGCAACTATATACTTCAATAAGAATCTAAAAAAACCTGAAAAGTTAAAGGCTTTCTAGAGTTCTTCCTGTCCCTTGGAGTATTTTTATTTTTAAATTTCTTTATTTGACTGCACTGGGTCTCAGTTGTGGCACTCAGGATCTTCAGTCTTTGTTGCGGCATCTAATTCCCTAACCAGGGATGGAACCCTGGTCCCCTGCATCGGAGGAGCTGAGAGTCTCAGCCACAGGACCATCAGGGAAGTCTGGCATCTTTGTTTTATAGGGCATTTGCTCTCATTTCTTACATCCATCTATCCATTCACCTATGCATTTTTTTCTCCCCAATAATTAAAAATTAAATATCAAAAGGCTATTGACTATTCTAGGTGCTGGGAATACAGCTGTGCCCTCAAGGAATTTATATTCCAGGAAAGAGTGAAACTGAATTGGGAACAATGATAGGTTAGGTTTCAGTGTGAATTTGTGAGAATTCTCCCATTTCCTTCCTTCTTGCAGTGCCTACAAGGTAACTTAAATGCTTGGCATGTTTCTGACCCAGGGGTTGTTTGCTGGGTGGGGCGCAGAAGCTGGGAGTCTCTGGGGCAGGGAGTTAAAGGAAGCAACAACATCCCCGAGGGGAGAGGTTTTCGGATAGCATTTTTAGAAGGGTCACAGCGGGCCCAGAGGGTATCATGCTCTAGATGAGGCGAAGCTTCTATATCTGAAGGGACCGTGAGGCTGGACGGCATGGAATGGTAACCCAGGACCTGCCACTACCTTGGGTATTAGTGTGGGAAGTCAGGAATGACTTAAGACTGAACTTCTCATCACCCTGCGGGATGGGCCTCAGAATCGGAAATGAATGACTTCAATCAATAAATAGGCATCTCTTCTGTACCTGTGCTGCTCCAAGTCATAGCTGCCTGCTGCATTTGGGCCATCTCTGGGAGAGCAAAGGATGTTGGTGCCACTCGTACCCACGGTCTGAGTGTCCAGGTTTGTGACGTCTGGAACTCCAGGAAAGGCCCTTCTGATAACACTACATTCGTATGGTTGGAGCAGCTGAGGCCCCACTGGAGAACTGGTGAGCAGAAATAGCAGGGCTCCTGGAAGCTTCTTGTTCAATCGTGTCTGACTCTGAGACTCCCTGGACTGTAGCCCGCCAGGTTCCTCTGTTCATGGGGTTCTCCAGGCAAGAATACTGGAGTGGGAAAAAAAAAAGAATTCTGGAGTGGGTTTGCCATTTCCTCATCCAGGGGATCTTCCCGACCCAGGGATCGAACCTGCATCTCCTGCATTAGCAGGCAGGTTCTTTACCTCTGAGTCACCAGGCAAGTCCCTGGAAGCCTCTATTAGTGTTCGAAAGAGTGATCTGAAAGTGAGTGACCTGCTGGTCAGATATGCGGTTGGCAGGATGGAGAGAAGGTAAAGCACCCATTGAGACACTGCTGAGGAGATTCATGTTTCTCTGCTTGAATCCTAAAGTGGCCCCAGCCCAGTCATGCCATGTAAGGCCCAGGCCAAGGTTGCCCCAGTTGTGGGGAAGCCTGTCATGCTATGGTGGAAATGAGCCCACTAGAAGCTGTGGATGTTGAAGGATGAAGCTCCAACTTGGTCCCAGGAGAAGAGTCTGCATCTCCTTGTGGCTCATTCCTGTGAGGCAGCAGGTTGGTGGCTGAGAAACCATAGGCTTGAATGAAATCCCAGGGCCCCCAGGGCTGTGCTCTCTGAACAAAGGAGGCTCAGTGGGTGAGGCGGACTCCCCATCAGCTTCCAGGGGCTGCACCCTTGTAAACACACAGTGGGCTGCTGGAAAGTGTCAGACAGCACCCACCGGTCAGGAGAGGTCCGAAGGGCCTTCCCCAGAGAGTTCTGGACTTCACAGACAAACCTGGACACTCGGAACAGGTGGTGACAGACGTGAGCGGCACCTCGCATCCCAAGCTCTGTGTGACCCACCCTCACCCTCACCCCTTCTCCAGGCACCGATGCTGTAAAAGCTGGTACTAGTGAGTGAGGGGGACTAGGCTTTGCCACTGAGGCCAACACACAGGGATGTGTTTTCAGACCCTCGGGAAATGGGATGGATGGAGCCTGCATCCCAAGTGTAAGGGTGACCTTCGGTCCATCCTCATGGGGTGGCCTGGGCACCCTGGGGAGAGACCTGCTTAGGATGGACAGTAAGGTGCGCAGGTAAGGGGCACCCTGCTTCAGAAAGTGTCCTGACGAGTCCACTGCATGCTGTGGGGGAGACCTGGGACATTAAACAGGCTTTCAGCCATAGAGAGAGCTTGCGGTCGGTGAGAAGGCCGAGGAGGGCTTGGGAAGGGCCAAGAATCCAGGAGGGGCCTGCAGAGCCGAGGCATTGGGACACCTCTGCTGGTTCTTCCCACCGTGTTCATCCGAGGTCTCGGCTCAGATCTTTACCATCATTGCTCTGACCTCTGTCGGGTAGATTGCCTGTCTCCACCTCACTTGGTTCTTCCTCTGGGGTTTTATCCCGTGCCTTTGTCAGGAACATATTTCGCGGCGGCGTCTTGCTTCACTTCCTGCGTTTGCGGCCTCTGGTCTGCGGGACGCGTGGGATGGCAGCTCCTCTCCTCCGGGGACTGCCCCGGGGGGATGGGCGTGGTCCGGGGCTCCCGCGGACTTCCCGGTGGGCGGGGCCGGGGCCTCAGATACGTTTGCTTAGAGAGGGCTGCGGGCTCAGGACGACTGTAGGCAGGCTGGCTGCTGACGGGTGGAGCTGAGTTCCCGTCCTGTTGAATGTTGGGCCTGAGGGGTCCTGCACCGGAGCCTAAGGGCTGTGGGTGGGTGTCCGCCAGGTCGC